TATATTTAATAAATATACTTATCAGGAAATATATATATATAAAAAGAAAAAGAGAGAGAGAGAAAATCTTTGAGTTCCTAAATAACCATTCTATGCAAGTATATGCTTTGAAGAAAAAATAACCTATAGTCTATTTAAGTGAGAATGTTGCAATAATGTTATACGATGTGAAAAGGAAGTGGAGTTAAAATGAGATTGTAAAATAAATGAACAGTTAACAAATAAACAAAATATATATTATTATGTAAAGAAATGTAAAATTGATAATGTAGATATGTACGATCTTTCGAGAAATAAATTCCAAAATACGTAATTTATAAAATTATATATATATATATTATCTATCTCGCGCATATATAATTTCATTATCTCTGACCTGAGTACAAAACGGGAATTGATTATTAAACACTGATAACGATTATTATCGAATGAATTTGAATCGAATATACAAATTTTTAAGGGACAAAAATAATTATCGTATTATCATCGATTATTAATAAGTAAATAAATATCATTCTAACTTCATATTTAAAAACGAGCGTCCACATTCTTTCCCAAAACAACGATTCATATCATATGTTTTGTTCAATTTAATCAGACTCATTTATATTCGTATAATTTAATTACACTATTATTATTTGATCCTATTCAAACAATACAGTTATCCCCCCGACTTACGACTATATTCGGCTTTGAATATCTCAGCAATTATGCACTTTTCATAAAAAGGTAGAGATACTTTTTATAGTAAAATGATTAAAATTTATACCCTGTGCAGTCAGATTTACAAAAAGAAAAAATGTAATCATGTCATAAAAGAAGTTGTTCATTTTAACAGGGAATTAGATTTGGAAGTCAATAGTGATGATGTCAACATGCTGTTGAATTCACATAGTATAAAGCTGACAATCGATGAGCTCATAGAGATGCGTGAGCAAAACGTTACTGATGCATCCAACACTTCTGACCCAGTTCCATCAGATAAACACATGACAATTGCAATCTTGATAGAAGGTCTTCGTTCAATTAAAAAGAGCTTACAAATTTTTAAAAACGTAGACTCCAATAAAGAATGCATTACAATTGAAAAGCAAAAAATAAAATAAATTATTACATTGTGATGAATAAATTCTGTGTGAAAAAAATCAGCCATTGTATCGGTCAAATGAATTTGTTAGATTTTATGAACCATTAACATCAAAGTAACTTCTTACGTAACTTATTTTTATTCTGAATGAAACAGTAATCCTTATACTTAAAATGTAGAAAACAAGATATTATTTTCCCCCCTTACAAAAGTAAAGAAATGTTTTAAAATATATTTCTCGCATGTAATTAATTTTTCAAAGTTACGATTTACACGACTAGTCAAAAATTTATATATATATGTACATGTATATAAATGTAATCTATTTAAAAAATTTGTAAATAAAACATATATTATTTTCTATCAGTCATATTTCTATCATAATAATAATGAGGTAGTCGTTAACTAGTTCTAAAAAATAATTTAATAAATAATTCCTCTCAATCAGTAAAAATATAATATTTGTGCATTCTTACTCTAACGTAACTTGATATTAATAATGCATTAAAAATACAATATTTTTTGTTGTTATTTTATATAATTTTACAATTGTATAAAATGCATTATTATGAACACATATACATTTACATATTACCCATATATATCAATATGCATACATTTACATATTACCCATATATCAATATGCATACATTTACATATTACCCATTATCAATATGCATACATATATATATAAAAGATAATATTAATTTTATTTTCAAGTAGACATATTGAAAAATGATTTTAAGAGAAATTAAAAAATGTTACATAATATATATCGAAAAGGGAAAAATATATTTGATATAGATACGTCAAAATATAAATCTTTTCTTTTTGTAATAA